GATAAGTAAATAAAAGACTAAAACATCACATCATGCATGATTGAAAAGATATTTGATCTGCCACACAAGCTGATTATCTGCGTGTACTGTGAGCTTGCATCTGAAGTGTCTCTTGGCTGAGTGATGTGGTGTTTCACCCTCGCTCTGCCCGGCTGTACCGTCCCCTTCAAAAGACACAGCGGTGCCAGGAGTCCGAATCAGATCCTCCCACCACTCGAGTCGCATCCCGAACTCTTTCGATTCAGTGAATCCGCACTGAAGTCCTGTGGTTTCGCTTCAGAAGAGGAAAATCACTCTTTAGGGTGAAGTGATATCAAATCGTGGCCCTGAAACCACAAACTATACAGCAAACACACTTCAAAACCAACGTGCCACGGTGTTATTTATCAAAACGCCACTGAGCGAGGGTGATATTTCACTCTTTTCAGATCTGAGCGGGCATTTCCTCTGGTGATGGATTGCTTGGATATCCTGCAACGGATCAATATGGAGTCTCAGCGAAAGAGATGCTGTGTTAGGCCCTCCATTAGCACAGAGTGCATGAATATTACTTAGCTAATTTGATTGTGAAAAAATATGCCTCTAAACATGGCATCATTAGAGGTCTTCCTGTAGCTGGCGGTGCATTTCTGAAGCATGTCTAAACATGCAAGTCAAGCTCATTGCGATAATAGTGGAAGTGAGCCAATGCGGTGGTTGATAAGAAGATACGAGACTCGACCGTTCCCGACGAATCGCCTCAGCCAAAGGATCGTTCTTCCTGATTCCACTTCAATCCCTATTCCTCAAATAGTCAGAATTCTCCATTTGCCTTCCTTCCCATTCCCACTGTCAAACCTAAATGTATCCAGACACCTTCAACATTTCTCACATTATCACAGATTATTCGCTATAGTTTAGAAAATGGTAATAAATTATGACAAGAACTCAAGAGTTATTAAATCAGTTGATATTTCACTGGTTTTGTCCGTCCTTCTGTTAGACTGTCTCACAAATGAATTATGTTGAATATCCGTCAGCTGTTAAATTTAAGCACATAATTAGATAATACCAATCAACAAATTACCAAGCAATGCTTAATTTTGTTCAGTCTGTGGTGTAAAAAGGTCGCATTAACAATTAAAGAAAAAAAACTTCAGCAAAACATGGTCAGGTCAAAGTGTCTCAATAATATTTGGTCCCAAATTTTTAGAAAATTTACTGGTAGTCCACTGTATGGGTATAACGTGTCACAGTTTGCTATCCTCACTTAGATAAATGAACTTTAGCGTCCTGCACCCACTATTTAAAAACACATAAAAAATGATATCTGGTGTCTGAATAATTTTTGGTTTGACTGTATAAGTGTATCAGATCTAATTTAGGCATTCGGTTACTGGCTCATCATCATTTCTAGAGTACAGCGTAGCAAAGTGTCCTGAAATACACAGAGATCGGTCACGGGCTGTTCTACAGCTCAGCGTTTTCAGAGGGACTCGATCCAGAGGGCAGAGAGAGGGCAATGACATCATCCTAAATCAAGAGAGAGGTGCGTGTGTGCCGTCCATCCAGGTTTCCTCTCGTTCAAACACAGCGTGATGATATTGAAATAACTGGACTGGAAGGGAAAAAAAGTCGGAAAACTCAAGATTGGGAAAATAATCCAATCTGACATGTGAAACAGCTGTTGCATTGTTCAGTCCAGAAACCAAATGGCTCCCTTTTGACCAAGTTGAGTTCCCATTACTTTTCCAGTTGTTCCTGTTGACTGGATATAGGAAGGAGCTTCATAATTTTTTTTTTTTTTTAATGAGAACGCATAACTACTAGCTGATGAAAACAAACCATTAAATCACATACTTTTATCGAAGGCGGCTTACAAATGAGGAATACAACAAGCGATTTATAAATGCGACGCACCATCCATTATCCAAAGCTGTTGGTAGATTGTGAAGGTTTAAGAAAAGCAAATATCAGCTGATTTAGTATATGATGCATCTCTGCTTACTACAATGGAGATAAATAACACATTAATGCTTAGACTCTGCAGACGCACGGTTAGTGAGGAGGAGATTAGACCAGACTGAGCTAATGCTGAGCATCTGGACTGACACAGATCCAGAGGAAGACGTCATGCATTTACAGTCATCACAGATGCTCTCTAACCTTCAACCTCGAATGCATTTACAAATATGACACGATGGAGACTCTATAAATACAGAGGGAACCATTGTTTCTACACACAATAAGCACTTTCTTTGTCCGCGGTTTGTCATTCTCTCTCTCTCTCTCTCACACACACACACACACACACACCCGTCTTTGTTGTCAAACTGATGCGGTTTGTGGCGTTTAATTCTCACCTTGCTCCAGGTCTCTCTGGTCGTACCAGGGCTCGTCCTCTTCCGTGACAAACTCGTCCATCCTGTCGGCTCGGAGCATCAGTGTGTCGCGGTAAACGGAGGCTCAAAGATGCGGAGATCTATCAAAGCGATACAAATGCATGAGATTGCAACATCTGACTTGTCAAGGCGTTCATGTACTACATTTACAGTTGCATTAAAAACACAGACTTTCCTAGATGTCCATATTGTGCGTTAAAACACACTTTAACCAGCTATTTTGTACGCTGAATAAATGTGTTTTTCGAGCGGCATCCGCGATGGAGAGATCCGCTCAACGCAACAATGACAGCGCGCGCTAACGTTACTTACTGCGAACAAACACGCGCTCCGTCCGCGTCAAATGTTTCCAGCATGCTAGGAGAACATTTCCTACGAATTAAAGGAAATGTCACGGTGTTGCCATTTAGTTCTGTCACGTTCAATCCCTCCCACTGCCGTGCTAAGCGCGGATATCTCTCCTCATCCGAGTTCCCAACAACATCCCCGTTGGTTTCGCCCGAGAGATGATGAAGTACCCGAAATCCTAGTATTGGGAAGGTCAGGCTCTTAATATTCATGAGCCAAGTCTTCGCTATTGGTCGGCTGCAGGGCCACGTCAACAGTGTCTATTAAAATTCACAAAACAGGCGTCAGCCATTGGAAGGGGTTTCAAGCAACGAGCGAGTCTGTCAAAAACGGCCTAGTCATGTCCTCCAAAATATGATTTTTTTTTTTTTTTACTTTTGATGTCAAAATGAAACGTGTCCTGTGTCTGTTCAGACTAGTCTTAAAAAGTTAGTCATCTATTTTTTTTTTCAAGACTGGTCGTAACTTGTTAAAGTAAGTTACATAACAAGGTAGATTGGTCTAATTTGAAAAGTAATTTTGCAAGTTCTAATTTTGGAAAAGTAAGGCTGATCAGCTTTTGTCTAACTTGTAGTTGGCCAAACTAGTTCTCAAACTAGACACAAACCAAATTCATATGCAACTGGCTGGAGATATTTTTTTGGCCAATGTTGATCCAACCTTTAGACAAACGTGAAAACATCTTCCAGAACATATTTATTATGCACAAGCAAATAAATCCTTGCCACTGAAAAATGAACTTGACACATCACCACAGTTTATTAATATTCATGACTTACCGCACAAATCCTTCGTCATAGTAGGAATCGTAATTTCTCCTCTTCCACTGAGAGAAACGGGAAAACACAATAATCCGTTTGTCTAGGAATCTGAGGGCTGTTTTCACGCCGAAGAGGGATAATTAGGGGGTCTCCATTCAGCAGTGACTGTGGGCTCAGTCGAGCGTTAAACTCGTTTATTTCGAGCAGTTTCCCGCAGAGAGCAAGACAATGACATGATTAAGGTGTAATTTTAGAAGTGCCTAATAATAGCACGAAGCCAGATTGAATGAAAAGGGACTTATTTTCTTATGTGCAGCAATAAAGCTGAAGACAAATGTGAGATGAGAGATCTAGGCGACCCATAACGCAGCATAAATGTGACAGCTAGAGCAGAACAGTATCCTAACTCTAATATAATTCCCATTCAGTTTCTCTATTAAGTAATTGATTTTCAGTAACAAAAACTTCAAGGACAGACTTCTGAGGTTAAGCGATGATTTATCCTTCTGTAGAAGTCATGTGAACTTCATCTTTGCAAAAGTGTTTAAAAAGCCGAATTCCCAGTGAAGAACTACAATACCCATAATCCTGAAGTGAGATCCACCAATCAGAAAACTCAGTTACTAGACTGCATTAGGACCCGCCCACTTTCACAGTGGCGTTGATTCCGTCAGTATTTTGTTCTCATAGAGATTTTTTTTATAATTCTTCATTAAAGCATTATAAGCCATGAACCAAACCAACCAGCGGCGAGGCGAATCGCATCACAACCTTTGATTCGACGTGAAAAAGTAGTTGAAAATCAGACAAAAAGACTTTGTCCTTGTTCAAAAAGGTGCAAGATGGTTTACTTAGTGGATTTAATAAGGGAAAGAACTACAATCCCGAAGCATTGCGAATGACAATCGAATTTCAGAGGGATGTAAAATATCAAACTATTTATTTAAAGTCGCTGATTATATCTATAAATCAATATATTTTAAGTTTATAGCAAACTGCATTTATACAAACGTTTAAGTATTTTGAGAGTGGAAGCGCCTTGCAGGCCCTTCAGGTTCGATTTGCTCACCGCATCTCTGATTGGTGGAATTTCCTGTACAGCATCATGGGAAATGTAGTTTTTCACCTTTAATTCAGCTGTTAAACAACTATTTTAAAAGCATGTTGAAATAATGGGAACAAATGGTTTCAACAAAAGCATAAACCCTCAATTAACAAGCTTGGAGCTCGCAGTAGAGCTGTCTTTAAAGGTTAATACGTTAGCGTTTAAAAATCAACATGTGATGGTCATTCCCAATGCTAATGAGCAGTTCATGCACTCATAAAAGATGACAATGACATAAATATACACTAATGCATATACTATACAAATCTAGGAATCTTTTGAAATCCCTGTGGAGAAAATCAATGAGGAAAATATATACCGTACGCAAAAAAAACGGATGTTTACCGCTCTCTTGAAGACAAACAAACCTCCCAATTATGCCATAAATTATTCAGCATGAAGTACTTCTCCATTTGTGCACTTTTAATGGAGTTTTCAATACAGTTCACACCACTTTGAGTGCATTATAAGCAACTAATGCTACATTACAGTTATTGCGGTCTGTTGCTTGTTCAGATTTCCAACATAAAACGGCACTTTTCATCAGTTTATATTCATGTGCAATGTATGCTTAGGCCCTCGCGATACACCTGAGATATACAGCAGCAGCTGCTAAATATGCGGCATCTCGGGCATGAAAGGGAGCGGAGGATCCCCAGAGGTTTGGATGAAGGGATAGAAAGACGGAGATCGCTATCTCTCCTGGACTTTGAAGTGTCTCCAGTCCGCCTCGCTCTCACAGCGCTGGATCCTGCTGAAGAAACCCTTGATGAAGCTCTTCGCTTCCGTCTTCACTGCGGGGACCAATGAGAAATCATGAAGCGCTAATTCAGCACTTGAAAAATGTTGGATTTTGATGAGGTTAAGGATAGTCTCACCTTGGCCTCGATTTTGAGTTTTTCCCTCAGTGAGAAGATGGGAGAGGAAACGGGCAAAGGATTTGAACAAATCCTGTCGGGGGAAACGGTGCAGAATTGAAACTTTCATTCTAATATCTTAGTTTTTACATGTTTTACATTTGAACGGAAATGATCACCTTGGTTGCGAATTTGCCCTTTTTGTAGAATGGATCCAGGCATCGGACCACGATATCAGCGGCCTCCTTCAGTGTCACGGGCTTTTGTGAAATCGCAGCCGCGTCCCCGTTCATTGTGCCAAACTGCGTCTCCTGCACCAGCGGGTCAAAGGTCACTCTCTTGCTGTCCATCACGCGGTTGCGTTTCGCAGGAGGAGATGACTGAGGAAGAGAAACAGACATCTGACATTTCAACTTCAAAACACTTTTTTTGTCCCCAAGGGACAATTAATAAGGCCGCATAAACATTATACATAAAATAAACATTAAATAAATAACACAATATGCACGGAATACATATTAATGAATACCTAATATACATATATTAAATAATAATTCAAATCAAGGCATGATAAACAAGGGGGCTAGAGATGGTTGAGAATTTGGGAACAAAGGTTGCCTTCCTCCTTTGGTCCTACAACATGGACAACGAAGCCGTCGGTGTGAAGGAAGCCACTCAAAAACAGAGAACATTACATGTGAAGTGTCTCGCAACATCCTTCCAGCCAACCTCCGCATTTGCTGTTCACTTATAATAGAAAGAGCCCTAATCGGGAGTCCAATCATTTTTGAGCAGACTTTAACTATTTCTATTTTGGAGGCTTATAGAATGAAACCAGCAGACGATGGAGAATGTAATGACTCTTTCGATATAGGAGTAGTAGAACAGAGTGAGCAAGTTCTTACTAACTCCAAATGAATTGAGCTTCCTTAAAAGGCACTGCCGCTGCTGGCATTGACATGGCAATCAGCTCTAAATAAAGCTCTTGGTAAAGGGGTCATATACTTTTTTTTTTTTTTATCATACATTTTTTTCCCTAAGCTCAATGTTTCTCATAATTTTACGGAAGCCTAAAAAAAAATCTAAAATTATGAGAATTAAGTCGTAGAATTTCGACAATAAAGTCAAAACATTACTATAATAAAGTCGTAATATTTTGAGAATAAAGTAAAAAAAAAAAAGTTTCATGTTTATAGTTACTATTATGTTTAGATCCATGTCCAAGGCAGTTCGACTTCACGAGCGCATTTCTTAAAACATTTTTTTTTTTAAAGAACTAAGGAAGACTGTATTCACGTAATTTTGACTTTAATCTCGGAATATTTCGACTTTAATCTCGGAATTCGACTTATTCTCGGAATATTTAGACTTTAATCTCGGAATATTTAGACTTTAATCTCGGAATATTTAGACTTTAATCTCAGAATATTTAGACTTTAATCTCGGAATATTTAGACTTTAATCTCGGAATATTTAGACTTTAATCTCAGAATATTTAGACTTTAATCTCGGAATATTTAGACTTTAATCTCGGAATATTTAGACTTTAATCTCGGAATATTTAGACTTTAATCTCGGAATATTTAGACTTTAATCTCGGAATATTTAGACTTTAATCTCGGAATATTTAGACTTTAATCTCGGAATATTTAGACTTTAATCTCAGAATATTTAGACTTTAATCTCGGAATATTTAGACTTTAATCTCAGAATATTTAGACTTTAATCTCGAAATATTTAGACTTTAATCTCGGAATATTTAGACTTTAATCTCGGAATATTTAGACTTTAATCTCAGAATATTTAGACTTTAATCTCGGAATATTTAGACTTTAATCTCAGAATATTTAGACTTTAATCTCGAAATATTTAGACTTTAATCTCGGAATATTTAGACTTTAATCTCAGAATATTTAGACTTTAATCTCAGAATATTTAGACTTTAATCTCAGAATATTTAGACTTTAATCTCGGAATATTTAGACTTTAATCTCGGAATATTTAGACTTTAATCTCAGAATATTTAGACTTTAATCTCGGAATATTTAGACTTTATTCTTGTAAAAAAAAATTACGGATTTTTCTTTTTTTTACATTGCAGTTCAGGGCTTCCGTATAATATGATTCCTTTGATGAAGAATAAATTGTGATGTTACTTGTTTTGGTGATTGTTGTTGGCCGTCAGACTTCAGATTCCCTCTGTTTGGACAAAGAAACAGCGGTTCAGAACACATTGAGAACATTTAAGGCATTTCCTCCATGATGACTGAGGGTGTGTTCACACTTGTAGTTCAGTTCTCTTGGTTCGCTTGATCCGGACCAAAAAAAAAAGACACTGATACATTTAGTCCTGGATCGCTTAGCATTCATAATTTTTAACACCGAACCTAAAGATACAAAACAAAAATTACTTTTATGACTGAGGCCTCACTAATACGCTTTCATTTGAAAACGCATCTTTTTCCCTTCTTTTTGGCCTTCCGTCCACACGCGATGGCGTTTTTGGCAACAAAAACGAAGCTTTCTGAAAACGCTCTCCAAAGTGGATACATTTAAAAACGCCGTTTTCACGTTGTTGTGTGGACTGTGAAAACAGAGGCATTTGAAAAACGATGATGCAAGTTTAGTCATGTGACGCATATTAAACCCATATTTTATAATGATTATAAAACGGTTCGTTTCAGTCCTTGATTCTGATTGGTCAATAGCTGTGTTTTATTCACGATAAACTCGCAAACACGAGTATCACTACACAACACCCCAAGAAACCACATAATGTTCTCATTGATATTGTTCACTGAAGCTTATAGAGTAGAGTATTGTGAGAGATCGAGTATAAGCGAGTGTACCTGCATTTACAGTAGATATAGCATTTTCCTTCAGGTCAGTCCTATATTCTGAACAAAAAATCTGTTTGAATGTCCAGTGCGATATCTTGTCCTTTTAACAGTTAGGGGGTTTTCACAAGAAGTTTCAGTCCTTTTAATATAAAAGTCTTCTCTACTGACTGACTCACTCATAAAGACAGTCTTTTCCACCATCAAATGGCGAAATAATGTCACTTCTGTTGCTGTTGTGCACGGTCAGGGACTATTTTTTCCAGCGGAAGGAATTTAGTGATTCTACTTCATTAAAGTTGCATTGATACATATTTTTTGGTTTTAATATTTGTATTGTGAGGTAACCGTTCTATAAAAGCAATAAGTACGAGAGGCTAGAGCTGTATCGTGAATTATTCACAGCTGAAGGGCGTTGTTAGGCACGGCGTGAAGAGGAGTTAAAAGGACAAATTGTGCCTGTTATGTGCTATTCACTTTCACACAGTTGCTAAAATACGTTACTTTGCACACTCTTCATATCACAGTCCTGCATAGAAGACAGAAAAATCACTCGCATTTGCTGTCCTGCTGAAACATGAGAGCAGCCGTGTTTTAGACCAAACGTATAATGGTGACCGAGTGCGACCCTCACGCTTCAGTGAATGCGGAGATATTTTGCTTAATAAAATGATCCTGCCAGAAGAATTGTGTGATAACTTGTGTGTCTGTTCCGTCTGTATCATCTCAGTGAACGTTTCTGAGGGTTTACACACGCACGGTTTTCCAACGTTTGAGTGTGGATGAGAAACTTTTGGACAACGCTAGTGTGGACTGAGCGCGTTTTGAATTAAACTCGACCTGGATTAATGCCTGATTTAGCCAAACTGAACTCACGTAACATCCGAAACAATGCTTTCTGGGCTAAACACGCTGGTTGTATATGCGTACATGCAGTATGATAGTATTTTTACCAGCTGAGAACTTGTGAAGAGCTTCGTTTGGAAGCGGACTCCGACTCATCTTATCTGTGGTCTCGGTCCGCTTGTTTGTTGCGCGCCAGGTTTCAGGTTACACTTAAGAACCGCACTAACAGAGCAAACGCACCAGGGTTCGTTTTAATCGAACCAAACCCGCCAAGTGTGAACACACCCTAGATATCGAACAGCCGTCTCCCATCGTACCGCTGCAGCTCTGGATGTGCCGTGAGCTCAGTGTCCATGAGCGTCTCCTCCTCTTCTGCAGAGGGACTCGCATGTGGACTCTCTGAAACGCTTTCGACATCCATGGAGGTGTTGTTCATCGTCATGAAGTCAATCAGGTCTGGTGAGGGCGAGTGATGGGGAGATCTTTCCTCCTCAGGCTCTGCTTTAACACGTCCTCCTTTCAGCTGAGGCGCGTCTACTTGCTTTTTCCCGAAATACTGTGATATACAGCGCATGTCTTTGGCAGCTTCTGCTAGTTTCTGCTGCTTCTTAGTGAGTCTTTTGCTTGGGCTGCTCAGGGAGGAAGTGGTGCTGGTTTTGGCTTTGATGGGCGACAAGCTGGCGGGTGTTGGTTTAGTGCTTTTCATCTCCTGTGTTTTTCCTGTTTCCTCCTCCTCTTGCTCACAGACGGGGTCCGTGGTGAGCATCTCCTTCTGAGAGTTCAGAAGATCTCCTGCTGTCTGGAACAGGCTGGACGAGCCACGAAACCCAGCGCCTACACGCTTCCTCTTCAGCTAGAGTGTGAAGGACAAGAGTATGAGCACTATTTCAGGAGGTTTCTGTGGATAGACTTCAGTTTCCATTATTACTTTTTATGGTCAATCTGAATCCCGGTAAACAAAAACACAGTCCCGCCCCGCTATTATTTAAAACTGAATAACCGGTTTTGGTTGCAATGATTTGCTATTACGGAAGATAAATGTATTGAGAACATGAACTAACAGACAGATTACAGACAGACACATAGATGATAGACACAGATAGACAGACAGACAGACAGACAGACAGACAGACAGACAGACAGACAGACAGACAGACAGACAGACAGACAGACAGACAGACAGACAGACAGACAGATAGATAGATAGAAAGAAAGATAGATAGATAGACAGACAGATAGACAGAGAGACAGACAGACAAATAGACAGACAGACAGATGATAGATAGATAGATGATAGATAGATAGACAGACAGACAGATAGACAGACAGACAGATGATAGATAGACAGACAGACAGATAGATAGACAGATAGATTATAGATAGACAGATAGACAGACAGATAGATAGATAGACAGACAGACAGATTGATGATACATAGACAGACAGACAGATAGACAAAAAGATAGATGATACATAGACAGACAGACAGATAGACAGACAGAGATAGATGATAGATAGACAGACAGATAGACAGACAGATAGACAGACAGATAGACAAAAAGATAGATGATACATAGACAGACAGACAGATAGACAGACAGAGATAGATGATAGATAGACAGACAGATAGACAGACAGATAGATGATAGATAGACAGACAGAGAGATAGATAGACAGACAGATAGACAGA